TATATATATAGGGTATTAACAAGCTTTGTATTTTTGTTCCACTCTTATCTCTTTTATCATTTAAATTACCTTGTTACTTCCGTTCAATCCCTTTTTTCTTTTTTTTTTCATCTTTTTAATTTCAATCTACTATCTCTAAACGTCGCATATGTTTTCTAACGATTAGAAATAAAAAAAAAAAAAAAAAAAACGTACGATCAGGTGATTCCAAAGAGAAACTTCACGTTTAAAGTGAGTTTTCTTTTTCGTTGCATGCCACGTTGTTCGGATTCCTTAACAGGTAGATTGAAGAGGTCATGGTTGTGGTAAATCTCTCTCTTTCTTTTTATTCTAACACACATACATACATACATACACACATAAACGTCTGAAGAAACACCTGTACACCCACACATACACATATTTCCAGTTTTTACATAGACACGTGTCATTTAATTTGAATGAAAACTCGTCACATTTAGTTGTTTGATAAAAGAATCTAGGTGTTAACAAAATAAGGGATGATGATGATGAAGTTAGAGGGTGATATGACTGACGATGATAAAAGTCGACAATCGTTGGTAGTTTTTGATGACTGTACTGTTGTAATATCTTCTTCTTCTTTTTTTTTTTTTTTTATTTGTACATGCTAGTAAGATTGTCTATGTAGTTGTGTCCCTAGAACGATCACGACACGGAGGTCATTTATAATGCAATTTAATCGCACGACTGCTAACATAGGACACATACACTAATATATATGCAAAAGGTATATCGATCTATTGTGATTCTGATACGCGCGTAAGTTTTTATTTACAAAAAAAAAAAAAAAAAAAAATATAATAAATTAAAAATCAAGAGAAAAGAGATAAGAACGAGGGGGAATCTCTGCATTTTTTTCTTTTTTTTTTTTTGTAACTTTTGTCCTTCGTTAACTAGTTACAATTTCTTTTTTACTAGATTCTTTTTTCTTTTATTTTATTTTTTTTTTTTTGAAACATAAATTGACACGACCTTTAACACACGTGGCTTATATTATATGCTCGTCACATTTCGCGTTATCGTTTTTCCTCGTGACAATTTATCCCGTTATCGATGCTTTTTTTTTTTTTTCTTACGTGTACACCTAATGCAAAACTTGTTTCTAAACAACTTGTATTATTTTAAACGATGAATGATTCCGTTGGAATAATATAATAATCGTCGATATGTCTCTTTTCTTCGAATATTTTATTTTTTTAAAGTGAAAACTTCTTTAGAACGGGTGTTATTTGAAAAAATGTAACGGAGCGGTAGGCGGCGGCGATGTAACGGAGCGGTGTAGGCGGCTATGTAACGGAGCGGTGGGAGACAATGAAACGGCCAAGTTACTAAATAAGAAGAGAATACAATTATCCTACAGTAGATATTTTGTATTCGTCTTATTCTCTCGAAACTTAATTTTTGGAAAATTTCATTTCTAACACGTGTGATCTTACACACATGTTTCTCTTTTTGTTTTGATTGTTGCTTGTTTCATCTTACAATTTTGTTAATTGCGAATTTTTGTTGGATTTCAATTTGAATTAGAATTAAAAGGTGAAAATGATAGAGTGTAGTATCTATGGGATTATTTAATGGTTTATTTAAAAAGAATAATTTTGTTGCATTAATAATTAATATTGTTCATTGAATTTTTGTGAATTAAAATTTTATTAGAAGGTGAAAATGGTAGGGTGTAACATCTATGGGATTTAATGGTTTTCATAAATTTGATTTAATTATTTGATGAAAAAAAAATAATAAAAAGTTTTGCTAATTTGAATTTTTTGTAAACTTAGGGGTACAATATTGAATTCAGTAATTTTCCATTATCTTGTTTTTTGTTGTGTGGGTTTCTAAATTCCATCCTAAAGGATTTGAAACTAATAAGATTAGGTTTGGATAAGAAGCTTCGGTACACGTGTACCACGTATTATTTTGTTCTCCTCTCTCTTTCTTCATTTTAATTCCATGTTCTTTATAATCGTTATTCAAGAAACGTTCGATTGACTCCATCATCATCATCATCATCATTCACTTCTATTCAATTGAAAATAAAGTAGACGGTTCGTGACACACTACCCACCACATTTGGAACAATTTTTATTATTTAGTTTAACTTAATTTTTCTATCACGATATATATATATATAAAAGTTAAATGATCTTGACATTTACATTAGATCATTTCAATCAATGGATTGGATTTTAAGTCACGAATGAAATTTATACGAAATTTTGTTTATTTATGTTACCAAAGTTGCTATGATTTTTATTATTGTCATAACTGTAATAATAATTTTATTATTTATATTATTTAAATATATTTAATTTTAATATTTTTAATTTATATTATATTTGGGGTGCCCTGCCACGCGTTGCTGTGGCTCACAATCAAATAATTCGCAATAAATTGAGATATAAACTATTCCTATCTTTCAAGTTAGATGAAACTGCACAGAGTGTGCAAAATTTGATTAAAATCGGTTTAATAGTTTAGGAGTCCATTGCGGACAAACAACGTATGACACGTAATTTATATAAATTAAGATAATATATTTAATTTGTAAAAGTTTTAAATGTATGAGTCTCATTCTCTCGTTCGATTTTTTTTTTTTTATTTCAAATCACTCCCATTGTAAAGTTTTCACTTGAAAATAAGAAGAAGAAGAAAAATAATGGAGTTCAACAAGGTGTAAATATTTAGTGAATGAAAGAGACTAACTTATTTTAGGATCAATGTATGTAACATTATTCTAATGTATTCACGATCGAAGAAAGGACCCTGTTGATTTTGCATAACGAGGTACCAACCACTTCTACTAACAAGCAAAAACCATCTTGACTCTCTTTCCATTTCCTTTTCTATTTTTTTTTCTTTTTCTTTTTATTTTTCTCGTGGTTTTGCGGCTTCTTTGAAAAATACTTTTGATAACGTTACGGATAGAACCGATCGATCGGTAACACCACCGACGGGTCCCGATCGTTCGTTCCACTCTCTTTTTTTTTTTTTTTTTATTATTATTCCTCTCTCTCTCTCTTTTTATTCGCATTGCTTGACGAGACTATGCGAATTCCCACAACTTGTTTCTTTAGCTCCTACACCAATACCAACATCGAACCATGTTCTACAGTGTACTCTCTTCTTTGTCTACTCTTATCGGCCATTGACTCCTCGATCGAAAAGAAATATTCTTTCTTTAAATTTAACTCTTCTCTAATCTTTTTCTTTTTCTCTTTTTCTTTTTCTTTCTTTTTTTATATTACTCAAAATTACAATTTGATCTTTTAACATCAATCAGATGATTTCTTGGGCATTTTTCTTTCTTTCTATAACTCAAAATACAATCAGATTTTTGTACATCAATAATCAGTTGATGATTTTTGTGTCACATGTTTTTAAGCGGCAAATTTAATTTCAAATTAATTAATAATTCGAGTGTTCTATTGTTTTTTCTTTTTTCTTTTTTTAAATCAAACAGATGAATAAACAAAATAGAAATTAATATGTTTTT